AGTTTATATGGGTGTATTTTCTTCGATCTAAATCTGAAGTGTTTTCCATATTCAAGAAGATTTTGGCTTACGTTGAGACTCAATTTTGCACATGCACCAAAGTATTATGATATAATTTTTTGTGGAGAATATATGTGCGATGAATTCAATAATTTGTTGCTTGAGAAAGGAATTGTATCACAACGCTCTTGCCCATACACGCCACAAAGAAATGGGGTTGTTGTGCGTAAAAACCGACATCTTTTGGATGTCACTCGTACTTTATTGATTGAGTCCTCTATTATTGAGTCCTCTATTCCATCTAAATATTGGTTTGAAGTTGTGTCTTCTACTGTCTATTTGATGAATAGACTTTCACCTAAAGTGTTAAAACTTCAATCTCTATATTATCGTCTTTTTTCACAAGTATCATAGCTATCATAGTTTTCATACATTTGGTTGTTTTTGTTTTGTGCACCTTCCTCGTTCTCAATGCAATAAACTTTCTGTTCGGTCTATTAAATGTGCTTTAATGGGAAATAGTACTTCGCAGAAAGGACTTATTAGTTGTGATCACAGTTCTAACAAACTTCATGTTTCTAGGAATGTTATATTCTTTAAGAATAGGTATTTCTTTCCTGCTCATGTTGAGTCATCTTCTGTTTCTCCACTTCTTCCAACTTTTCAAGATTTGTCATTGTCTTCTAAGCGGTTCAAACAAGGATTTGTGTATGAACAACATCGGCCAAATTTACCCCATCTTGAAACAGATCCACCACTTGAGACTTCTCCATAACAATAATCTAAAATTTTTTCAAGGCCTGCTCCTCTTGAGCCTCCTCGACGATCTACTAGAGTGTCTAAAACTCCTAAATGGTATGTTTTTTCTTCTACTTTATCCACTATCTCTATTCCAACAGGTTACTCACACGCCTCCAAGCTTGAATGTTGGCAAAAAGAAATGGAGGAGGAACTTTTGGCTCGTAAAAAAAATGACACATGGGACATTATTTCGTGTCCTTCAAAATTCTTTCCTATTGGATGTAAATGGGTTAATCAATTGAACTTCATTCTGATGGAACTCTTGATCGTTAAAAAGCTCGATTGTTTGTTCTTGGTAACAGATAAGAGCATGGGTGTAAGACCCCGAAAAATGACTTAGGTTAACTAATAACTATCATGTTTGTATTTGTGGACTAAGGTCCTAAATTTTTTTTATTATATGGTATTGAGGAAGTGTCTAAAGTATTAGGTGTACTGGAAGTCGAACGTCAAGGGACAATTAAGACATTCGACGACTAAGTCACCTATGTGCCTCATATGTTGTTTTAGGTGTTATTATTTGATTCATGAAGTTTTAAGGTCTTTATATTAGTTATTATATCATTTATATGCAGTTTGTCAAGTTTCGTGGAGTTTGGAGGTCAAATGTTCAAGAACGTACATGAAGTTCAAAAGATGTGCCTTGAAATGACCTTGTGTGTGTCTATACATGTTTCATCGAGTTTTACGTGATCGTTTTGGGTGAAATTCATGTGAGAGGTTCTAAACTCATATAAAATAATATTTAGGTTGGAAACATTTGGGTAAACCATCCCAAGGACCAACTAAGGGTTCTTGAGGAAGGATCCATGTTGGTGGCCAAAACTTCCCAAAGGCAGTCTACTTACAGATCACAATTGACGGCCATTGGCTTGGTCGACACCCCTTTGGTGGTGGGACTCATTTGGGATTTATATTGGGGAGATAATATCCCATTTCCAAGTCTCTGAACCCATCGACAAAAGCGAGGATGACCCATAAGTGGACCTACGCTCTGTCGATGGTTAACCGTCGATGGTCACTGTGGCCTGCGTGCAGTTCACTGTTAGTTAGGGGTGATATTATAAATTCGGACCACTTCCAAATAATAGTATTGGAGGTTTATTAGGGGTACTTTAGGTATCTTAAACATGTATATAAGTGTTAACACTTAGAATATTTTATTCTTCAAAAGCAAAAACCCCAAAATCTCTTAAGAAGTCCCAAAGACTCCATTGAATTCCAAAATCAAGGAAGAGATTGGTGTGACGTTTTGAGTGGATATTATTCATAAAAGTGAATAATTAGATTCATTTAGGTATGGATATTGACCTTTGAAGTCTCTTTATCAAGGAGCCCCAATTCTCAAGATGTTTTCTAAAGTTTTCAAGTTGAATTGTCCAATTTCATGATTCTACCATAGGTTCTCGCATCAATTGTTTTAAACGTCTATTATGTATAATATTGATGTTTTATTGATGATTTTAACCTTAATTACTTATGAATCTATGAATTGGATGAACCCAGATTTTGACTATGTTATGGGTTACTTGATATTGATCTAATGCTAATGAATTATGGTGCAGATTTCTATGGGCTTTCTAAAGATGCAATGATTGTATTATATTGATGAATCTCTATTGAATTTACCTAGTTTTATTGATTTTCATTGTTTCTACATTGGATTATTGTTCATGGCCATTGGTAAGGGCCTTATATTATTGAATTGAACGATTTAGCATCAAGTTGATGTGTTGAGGATGTGGTGGTGGTAATATTCCCTAATTCCTTTATTTTTATGTCATTTATGCTCTAAATATGTTTTTATTGGTATGGTCCACTTATTGTGGAGGTGTTATGTGCTTTACTTGCAGTTGATGTGGCCTTGTCAGCGTTATTTTATGCAATATGATGATCATAGCCTTGTTGGCACTAATTGAAGTTATGTGTCTATTTGTGTGATTCAGTATATGAAGTACGATGATATGTTTTTACTTGTTAAGCAATGTGAAAGTATATGTGATCTATTGTAGTTATGTAGGTGATCATGTTAGACGATGACCATGTGCTTATATGTGTAGTCTTAGATGTTGATACATGATTTTTCCTACTTGAATATATGAGTTATGATGGTTATATTTATAATGATATAGTAATGTATATGATGACATTAAAAAGATAAGGTTCATTCTTAAGTGCTAAAAGAATAATATGCTATATGTGATAAGGGAAAAGAATGTTGTGTCTTGTTCGGTAGACTTGTGCCCCTTACTTGATATATTTATGAATGATATGTGAATATGAGATGTCTTTACTAGGTAGGATTAGTTAACCCTTGTCATGTATGAATGAAAGATATGTGAGACCTTAGAAGAATTTAAGAAGGTCATGTACGTTGTAAAGTTTATGGTATGAATGTTGAAGTTGAGAGTCGTAATGTTATTATTTATGTAAAGGAATAGTGGACATAAGGTTAATTTGCTGCAACGACATCATATTAATCCTTAGGAAAGTCAAAATGAGCTATCTTAGTCACCATTAAAAGGTAGCCCTAGTGAACCTCTTTGGTATGGTGAATGTGATTGGGTTATGAATTAAATAAGGGACCCTCTTCATGTGATCATTTAATGTCAATTACACTATGATAAGCAAGGCTAGCACCGAGTGATTATGTAATGAATAGTAGCTATACTTGAGAATGATACTAGAGTACAATGTAGCTCTACTTGAGAATGAGACTACAGTACATAAAAGCCCTTCATACTCCTTAACCATGTGCCTGCATGGTATATGTCCTAGTTTTACCCTTGTAAGTAGAACACCCTCATCGTAGTAGGTTAGAACTACGGATTCCATGTCTAGCTATCATGGTCTATGTCTATTATTGCCTATTCTCCTTATGTGGGATACTTACTAGTACTAGAGAGGTTCTATGAAGTTTAGGTAGTGTTATGGGACGCTATCTAGACATAGCACAATAGGCTTTGAAGGTGTTAGTTAGAGTCCCTAGGTCTTGTCTAAGACCATTAATTGAATGTCCTTTATGTGATGTATTAGTCTTAATGAACTAATGACTTATGTTAGGAAGTATGTAAAAGGAATAAGTACATATCTAGAGTAGTTAAGGGTTGTCTAGTTAAGGTGTGAAGGGTGCATAGGAATGGTAATTTCGTATCTTACCTAGATGAGTCTTAAAAATGACTCTAGTTAGGGAAGATTTGGATTATGTGGACATGATCGGAACTTAGGAAGTCTTATGAATTATTTAGATAGTCTTGAAGAGTTCATGACCGTTATCTTCTTGATCTACTCAAGTAAGTCTTTTAATAGCCTTTGATGACGAAATGTCATATTGTTTATGTGTTGATATGTTTGATGTCTTGAAGTGTGTATGTGACCCATTATAAGCAATATTAAGGTCGTTTAGGCACATCTATATAGGATGTATGGGCGGTCTCTTTTTGTGTGACTTAAGTGAATGTTAGGATAACTTTTAGTGAGATAATTACATGCTAAAGGTTGTCTAAAGTGAAGGTTAAGTATTTCACTATACAATGAATAGACTTCACTGTAACAGTGAATCGACTCGCTGTTAAGTGAGCCTAAAAATGCATTAATTTGTTTAAATATTATCTTATAATTTTCTATGTTGATAAATGTTTTTCTTATGATTTTTAAACGAAAAGATGCATATTTCCAATAAATGTCTGTTTTCATGATTTTTATGCATTATATCATACTTTTTACATGTGGTTGTACTCTATGCTTTTATCTATCTATATAGTTCTTGGTAGGTGAGGAGCTTTTGGGAAGGAAGATTGGACCGTAGAATCGTTCAAAAGGAGTTGAAGTATGTCCTCATTTGACTCGAGGGCATATATGTCTCTTTTGTTTTACATTCTAAGTATTTTAATAGACTAAGTAATTGGGCCGTGTACCAAGTATTCTTGTGCCTTAAGATGATGAGATTGAGACTTAGTATTTCCTATTGCTTTATATGAAAGAGTTTTTAAAGACTATGATATATTTAGTGAAACGTTTTAATTCCACACTAATTTTCACTATGTTTATGCGATGAATGATATGAAAGGGCTTGTATAAGACCCCTGAGAGGTCAAGTACACCGGTTGCAATCCGAGATTGCACCTATCTTCTAGGGTGTGGTTTCAAGATGTGACAATGGGGCGGGATATGAGGAGACTTTTGCACCAGTAGCAAAAATGAGTACGGTGCGAACAATTATTGCCATTAGTGATGCACAAAACTTGTTTGTTTATCAAATGAATGTCAAAAATGGTTTTATCCATGGTGATCTCAAAGAAGAGATTCATATGAAACCTCCACCTGGTTTGTTCTCATCCCCTACATCAGATGTATGCAAGTTGAAACGGTCTTTGTATGGATTAAAACAAGTTCTAAGAGCTATATTTGATAATTTCCCATCTACTTTGCTACAATTTTTTATTGAGAAGAGAAACTAGGACTCGTCTTTGTTTCTTCGAAAAACATCTATAGCTTGTGTTCTTATTTTGGTGTATGTAGATGACATTAACATCACAGGAACTGATTCTTCATTAATCACTAGCCTCGAACAACAATTTAAAGATTCTTTTCATATGAAAGATCTTGGTACTCTTACACATTTTTTGGGTTTGGAAGTTCATAATATTGCTTTAGGTGTGATTATAAACCAATACAAATATACTCAGAACATGATTTCTTTGGCTGGTCTTCAAGATTCCTCCTCCGTAGATATTCCATTGGAATTCAATGTGAAGTATCTTCGTGAGGAAGGTGATCTTCTTCCTGATACAACTATGTTTCGACAATTAGTTTGGAGTCTATATTACCTTACTATTACTCGGCCTGATATCTCTTTGCAGTGCACTAAGTTAGTCAATTTATGCAAGTTCCCCATCATCTCCACTTGCTGGTTGTTCGTCGCATCATTCGATAATTTATAGGAACATCTACTCGTGGATTGTTCTTTCCAAGTGGTTCTCCTATTCGTCTTAATGCTTTTAGTGATTATGAATTGGCGGGATGTCCTGATACTCGTCGTTAAGTCACCGGTTGGTGCATGTTTCTTGGAGAGTCATTGATATAGTGGAAGAGGAAAAACCAAGATCATGTGTCAAAATCTTCAACAGAGGCTTAATATCGATCCATGTCTACTGCTTGCTCCGAGGTTGTATAGCTTCGTGTATTACTTGTGAGATTGGATTTCCTCAATATCATCCTACTCCTCTCTATGATGATAATACAAGTGCTATTCAGATTGCTACTAATCCAATTTTTCATGAGAAGACCAAACACATCGAAGTAAAATGTCATTACATATGAGAAGTTGTATATAAAGGATTCCTTACTTTTCCACATGTGTCCAGTGATCTTCAAATAGCTGATTCGTTTACAAAATCTATGGCACGACAATGTCATCAGTTTCTAGTAGACAAATTGATGCTTCTTGATCCACCAACATCAATTTGGGGGAGGGGGGATGTTACCATGATGGAAATATAAATAATTGTATACATTAATGTAATTATATAATGATATAAATTAAATGATCATATATATTTGTTGTAGAATCAAAGGAATAAATATTGTTATAGCATAGCGTATTTGGAGGATTGAATAAAAGATTTGTAGAGATAGAATAACTGATCTTTAGGGATAGGAATAATGGAACTTTAGGGATTTGTAATTTTTATCCTGTCTATATAATGGAAAGTCTCTCACTTTGAGAGGTATTATGCAAAATAGACACACATCACTGTTGAATAAATGATTCATATGAAAGAAGAGGAAAGTTGCTACAACTTTGTTTTAGTACTCTTTATCTTTTTTTGTTCCTAAACTAAGTAGTTAAATTGGAAACCTTTATCCGAAAAACTTTTAACCTTCCTCATCTTGTTGATTGTATAATTTAAAATTTTAGTAGATACAACAAAAGAAATATTATTATCTCCCATTAACCTTATAATCAAATCTTCTCACATACAAAATTAATCTACTTCATAACAATTTCACTATTTTGTTAATTTGTTATAAGGTTTTAAGTTTACCTTGACTGTATAATTTGTTAGAAGCGACCCTTCTATGAAAGATATAAGAATAAAATTTGTTAGAGTCTATTTCTCTTAAAAGTCTCTGTTAAAATAACATACTTTGATCCTTGTCATGTTTACTTATTCCATAATGATGTGGATTACATTCACATACAATCCAAGAAATTTGTGCATATTGGTGAAGGTTTTAAAATGGACACATGACTTCACCCCTACGAAGGAAACTTCTATTGTGGTAGTTTGGGTGCTCATACATCAATTTCTATGGCTTTTTTTTGGTGAGTTCATTTCAAACTATAGTTGGCCTTGACAAAGCTGCATACTCAAAATCTAGGGGCAACGTGGCCAGAATTAAAGTATAGATTAACCTGCTAAAACAAAAAGTGGATCAACTTTTGTTGGGATTCAACTGACTTGACGGGGGAGATGATGGAGTGTGGATGAAATTTAAGATCGAGGATGTCCCTTTATACTGCTATAATTTTCATCTATAAGGTCACATGGAGAATCAATGTAAGAGAAGTGATACTGTTCAGATAAGCAACAATCAAGATGAGGATGGTTTTACGTAGGTTATCGGAAGAACCAAGAAAAATGCAAAGTATAATGAGAAAACCATCAAACAAGGACAAAAGAATGAACAATGATAGGAAGAAAGATCAGAAAAACAAGAATGACGACAATGAAAATTAAACAAAACAAGCTACAAAGGCTTGATCATCTGGATGAATATTGATACCCCAAATTTACACTTATTAAATAAGTATAAAGTGTTTGTTGTTCAAATATACAACCTTACAATAGTTAGAGTAGATCCGACAAAAATTTAGACTTTGTTCAATTACTATTTGATGACATGACAATATTCTGAGTAAATTTTGATAATGACAAACAACCTATTTTCACAAAATTTCCACGACTTGTAATAGTGTCCAAATAGGTTGACCTTCGGTGGTGTCTTCATCTGAGTAAGAAGGACTATATCTCTTAATTTCTTGACATCAGCTGAAAAACCACTTTCAACTTTTTCTTTCCCTTTGTTATTGGTTGGACATGGAGGATCCTTAAAATCGTCATCTGAATCAATTGTAGCTGCTATATGTGGTTTAACAAACTGGGGAGGCAAATCAAGAATCGGATTTTCCATTAGAGTTGCACTTATATTCTGAAAAATAAGATATTAAATTAAAATGTATTCATCTTCACATATACATTTATAAACCAATCAAATATGATGTAATGTGTATATATAAACATGTGCAACTATATGATTATGTAATTGTATAAATATATACACAGTCATTTGTATAACTGATGTAGATGTTTACAGAACCGTAATGCATATTGAAATTATTGTCGTCTCAATACATGCCCTTTGCAAAGTAATCTAGACGAGGGGAATTTTTTTCATCGTCCAATTGAGGATTCTAGGAATGTGGCTAGACACTTTGACAAAAATTTTATTATCAAAGAATGAACAACATACATAAAACCAAACTTGCAAAGCAAGTGAAAAACCAAATTGCCTGTAATATGGGGTAAAACCTTATCTAGTTTGAAATACTTTAGACATATTTTACCTTTTTTTTTTACTTTTTGCTTCCAAATAATGAGCTATTAAACTCCAGATGATTGATTTTGATTTCTTACTATCATGGAATTCATCATCAAGGTAATCATCCTTACGCAATCAACAAACTTTTGTTAATACCTTCCATGATTTGACTCAAGTTAATTTCAAAATGAAAGAATTTTAATATGTGGTGTTAAAAGTAAAGTTGTCATAATTCTGAGTGTCTCAATATTTATATACAATTCCCACCACTTAAAATAAGTAGGATTGCCCGTGTGCCAGACGAGCATGGTATGAAATGGGTCTTATTGAACCTTCAAAATATTCCACTTGCTCTATCTCGCATGACTTTTTTTATGAATTAGGTCCACCAAAATCAAAATAGCATCAGACCTACTAATTTGATTCTAGAGCAATTGAATTTTTCGTCCAAATATATCATCTTCTCCAAAACAAAAAAGACCAAACGTTTTACTCTTTTTTCCCTCTGTTGCTGGTAGCACTAACTCAATAGATTGGGGGCGTAAAGTGAAACTTTAAAAAAGATTCCTAATTTGAAAAAAAAATCATCATATATAGTTTTAGTTATAATATACTTTTCTAGTTTTATTAGATGTTAAGTTATTAATTATTTTTTTATAATCGATTTCATTTAGTAATTCCTTTTCAATTGATAATATACCTATTTCATTCATTTTATCTTAAGATATTGAATATCTTAGATGAGATTTTATCAATCTTTGTTTTGAAAAACTTCTGCCAGCTAAAAACAAAAGTTATGTGAATTATTAACATTAATCCTTAAGTAATACATGCATTAAGAAAACAATCAAGTCTTTTTATTATATTGGGTATTTCCATTAGATCATTATGCTATATCTATATTATTTCTCTTATGAATTTTAATTCAAAAAAATAAATTTAAACCATCAATATTAGAATAACTATTAAGTGTTAAAGAAAGTTCAACGTTAAGATCATTTTTTTTTGTAATTCTCATCATCCAGGGATCTCAATTTTTTACCTCTACATAAAGACTCAAAATATTTCATGTAACAACCTGATTCCGTCATTATGAAAGATTCAATGAAGAAATAATTGAGGCAAGAATACTCTTTCATAGTAACTATGAATTTCCCAACCTAGTCCAGATTTTTATAAAATTTTTGTCATTAAGGTGTGGGGAAAACCAATTAATCAATGATATATAGAATTGTGAATTTGATTACATGAGTGTGATAGCTAAGATGTTAAAGAAATAGTAGGACTTTACAGAATTGAATTCGTACGAGTAGAACTTCCGAAAATGATCTTAGCAAGAATAGGTACATTTTGTCTCTGTTGAGGCCGCTGTAGCGGGATAATGGGGGATGCAGAGGGTCCGCTATAGTGGCATGGGTCCTTTATAGCGGGCCAGATGCGACTTAAAGTCATAAATAAACCCCCTAGACGCCATTATTGGCACTTTTTGACTTTTAAAGCTAAGGCGGCGACCTCAGACGAGCTCTTACCAATTTGTTTACACTTCTTAAGGATAAATGTCACGAACTGGGTTCTTGAAACCAGATCGCAACTGGCGTCGTTGACCTCTCAGAGGTCGCAGACAAGCCTCATCTTGCATTCATCACATTCATCTAGTTGAATTTGCAAAAAATTTAAAACTTTTTATACGTATGAAGTATACATACACTTCATATAATTATTAACTAGATACATTATATAGTAAGATCAACATAAGAGAACAACCATATAACATAAAGAATCAATTTGAATTTGAAGATGAATATATCATAAATAGTTTGTCAAATATGGCCTTATTTGAAAGCTTCGAAATGAAGGTGCGAAAGAAACGTTATGGACAATATCCACTAGCTATGTCTAAAATTGAGGATAGACTAAATCTGTAGCATCCTCTAAATCACGAGGACCTACCAAATGGTTTGGAGAAACATTGAAGTCCAATCGCTGCAAGTGTCTTCAACCTTTCCTTTGACGTGCACCTATAAAAATAGTAAATAGTAGGGGGTTAGTACACCAGTTGTACTAAGTATGGGTGTAAGCACATATATACATAAAGCTATGCATGATCAATGTAAGCTCTTCCTAAACGACATGCTATTTCTGGAAAGTCTAGTCACTACACTATCTTAATTCATTGGTTGTGAATTGTGCTATGAATATGATGTGTTTTAATGCATTCAAAGAACAAAACTATTTTTCTATATGATTACGATACATTACTATCATCAACACAATTTTTGAACAACTCGGGCGAAGATTTGAGATTTTGATCCTGTTAGGCTGAGAGCTCCTCTTAGTACAATTAAATTATTTTTCAGTCTTTCTCTTCTTCTTGTTATGTAGTTCAATAACTCCTTTGGTACTATGTTTTACTTACAGGTGCAACGATTCATTGTAGTG